TTTTCCCTCTCAGTTTCCTGGTGAAAAGTATAACGAGCGCGGTAACTCGTAGTGTCTTGTTCAAGGTACTGTATTTGGTGATGTCGATGACGTTCAGTAAATTTGCGCTCTTTTGTGCGCTTGCGAGATTAACGCTTATTGATTGGGTCTCCGTGTAATTTCCTCTGTTGTCTTTTAACTGGTTGTCGTTGACAGATGGCCATTCCTGTGTTTGCTTTATAAGCCATGAGGGTCCTTGATTCCAACTCTGCTGTTTGGATATAAAGTCTTTAACGTCTATTCCCCTGGTAATGAGGTCTGCAGGATTGGACGTGGTCGGGCAGTATCTCCACGTACTCTGCGAGGTAATGTCTCTAATCATTTGCACTCGATGTCGGATAAACTGTTGTCGTAGAGGCTTGGATGAAGATATCCATGATAACACAATTTGTGAGTCACTCCACAGTATAATTTGCGATGTATAGAACTTTGAAAGTATGGTATTTGATAGGTATTTAGGTAATTCTGCCCCGAGTACTGCTGCAAGTAGTTCTAATCGCGGCATTGTTTGTGGTTTTATGGGTGCTACTTTACTTTTGGACATTATGAATGTACATTTTGTCCCACTTTTTAGGGTGGTTGCCCTTAGGTAGGCTACCGCTCCGTATGCTAGCTGGCTGCTGTCACAAAACGTGTAGTTGAAATTCACTGCCAACATCATTGAAGTATTGTCTGGGTATTTCCAGTGGGGTCAGATTTTGTAGTTCGTGCAGCCATTTGACCCAGTTCTCCTTAAAGCTGTCAGGAAGTTCTTTGTCCCACGGTAGGCTGTGTTTCCATAGTTCCTGCATCATTATTTTTGCTTTTACTGTCACTGGTTCTACAAATCCCAAGGGGTCGTATAGTTTTGAGGATAAGCTTAGTACTGATCTTTTGGAGACTTTTTCTGTATGGTTGATTTCTTTGATAAGTTTTGCTAATGAAAGTGACAGAGTATCTGTCTTTGTGTTCCAATTGACGCCTAGGACTTTGACCATTGGCTCTGCGTATACTCCGTTGTCTTGAGCTTGGCGGTTTAAAACAGGGGAGTTGCTGGTCCAATGTCGTAAATTCATACCCGCCTTTTGGAAGCAGTTTCTTGATGATGTGTAATACTGTAGGGCTTCAGGTTCAGTGTCCGTCCCCGTAATAACGTTGTCCATGTAAATCGAACGTTGTAAATCCTCTGATATCCAGTCGTCTTGTTTGATGAGGTGATGCTGTATCGTAGCATTCAGTAGGTGTGGAGACGGCGTGGCTCCGAAAAGTACGTGACAGAATCTGTAGACGACTAGATTGTTTGGATTATTCGCTGGTTTGTCTACATCTTTGAGCCAAAGAAATCTCGTAGCAGCCCTGTCTTGAATGTTGAGCTCTATTTGCAGGAAAGCCTTTTCGATATCTGCAGTGAAGGCTATCTTGTGAGATCTGAAGGTGAGTAACATATTTTGTAGTCTTTGTATGAGGTTTGGACCTGTATGAAGGCAATCGTTGAGGCTTAATGCCTTTGCGGATATCTTTGCTGAAGCGTCGTAAACGATTCTCATAGCTGTTATGCTGCTATCCTTGAAAACTGGAAAATGGGGCATGTAGTGCACGACTCCTTGATGTATGTTCGGGTCGAGGACTTGTTCTATAAACCCTCTCTTGAGTTGATCGAGCAGCTGTTTGTTGTATTTGCAAATAAGCTCTGGGTGTTTTCCTTTTAGGGTATGTTTCAGGTTGCTTAGTCGTTTTCTCGCCAATGTGAAGTTTGTTGGTAGGTTTTGCTTGTTGTCCTTCCATGGGAGTCTTACATTATATCTGCCGGTAAATTTGTTAAATTCAATGGTGTCTTGAAAATGTTTCTGGACTTCTGTTATCTCGGTGTCATTGCATACATCTGGGATTTGGCTTATCTCCCAGAACTTAGTGAGAGTTTTGTTAACGTCATCGTTTCTTATGGAATGTGTGTCAATCATTTGACATGATATGTTGAGTGTGGTTTCTGTAGTGGGTTCGTTGTTGGGTACCGGTCCTGAGAGAACCCATCCAAACTTGCTTTGTGTGGCCATCCATCTCTCATCTTGAGATTTCTTTGTGTTTCCCAGAATGATCTGGGTGTAGTGGTCGTTTCCTATAAGTATATCTATTAGGCGATCACCCTCCACGTTTAGTGTATCGGCGAACGCGAGAGTTTTGAATTCAACAGGAATTTCCGCCTGTTGGGTGCTTGAGAGCGGTGGGCAGATGATGGGCGACTAAGGCTGTTATTGTGACGCCTTTATTTACCGCGTTTAAGGTAAGTGTTACGACTTCGTAGGATTTTGGAGTGCCTTTGGTTGAACCAAATGTGGCTACGTCTAGTATCTCGTTCTGAACGGCTTTCAAATGTAGCTTATTCTTGAGGTATTGCGTAATGAATGTCTTTTGCGATCCGGTTTCAATAAGGATGCGTGCTTGGCAACTCGTAGCTGGTCCGCTTGCTGTGACCAGTGCAGTTTGCATTAGTGTATTTGTATGTGTCGTTGTACTTGTTAAGGTTGTCATTGCGGACGTGACGTTTTTGATGTTTTGTGGGTCTTCTTGTTTTTCGTTTCTCTTGCTTGAATCTCGATTAGGCTCGCTTGGTTCACAGATCGACGTATGGTGTTTTAGCCCGCAATTTAGACATCTTCCTTTTGAGCGACATTGATACCTTGTGTGGCCTGATCGGAGGCAGTTAAGGCATTTATTTTTCTGCGCCAATATGGTCTTTTTCTCTTTTGTTGATTTTACTTTTGAGCAATTGGTGTGACGGTGTTTACCGTCGCAATATATGCATGGTTTTAGCTCAAATCTCCCATTCGTATCGGAGCCTTTTGGTGGCTTGTGTATTTGGCGCGGTTGAGTGTTTGCGAGTAAGGCGCCAACTGTGGGTACGAGCACGTCGTCGACGACTGAGCTTGTGTCGTTTTCTTGCGTAAGTTGACTCTTTTCCCTGGTTTCTATTTCATGACAAAGCGCTGCTCGTAAATCATTTAGGGAGCAATCTGCCTGAGAATTTGTTCTGAATATTGTACAACGTAATTGTTCCGGTAACTTCTTTAGCAGAATTGGAATTAACAGACTTCCATATGAATCTGTCTGGACTCCCAGCGTTTCTAACGCGCGAATGTTGCTCTCGCAGCTATCGTAAAATTTTCGTAGTTGCTGCACATCAGTTGAGGGCGCGCTGATTTTTGAAAGCGATTCCATATGCGCGTTGATTAGAACTTGTTTCCTTCCAAAACGTTCTTTTAGCATTTTAATGGATTTTTCATAGTTTTGTGACGTCATTGGCAAGCCTGAAATCGCGCGCGCTGCGTTGCAAGTTATCACTCCTTTCAAATAGTTCATTTTGTCAATGTTGTTCAGTTCGTGATTGTTGTGTACTAACTATCCCAAAACGTTAGCCATTCGATTGGGTTGCCGTCAAATGGTTGGATATGCAGTTTTGGAAGATAGAAAATACTGCTCATCCTGCAAAGTACCACCAAGCCATTAGAAATTATCAGTAAGGCTAGAAACACTTTCATTTCCTTGCTCGTGACTGCTTGCCAATGTCTTGCTTCTTTTACCTTAGCATTAGTGTTCATAATTTGAACAATTTTTTTAGATCAGTCCATTGTCAAAAACTAGCATTAAAAAGTTAATTGCTCTCCCAGAAGTGGTTGTTGAGAAGATTTACACAAAAACCTGCAAAATCATCTCAAACAGGTTTTCTAATTCATCATTACTGGCATTGGACAGGCTGTCAGTCTTTAAATTCATCAGAACTGCTGCTCGAATTAACGTCGTTGCTTCCAGAATACATTTTATCTTGATTTAAGAATGGTGACTGTGCGTACGAGGTTCCAAAAAGCAAAATATCTTGCAAAACTCAAGTGAAACCATGTGCTTTTTATCAGGGAAACTTCAAGCTCTAACCCTCCACGCATTATTGAAAGCTGATAGTGGTTTATTAGAGTTAAGCGCTTCATTTGGCCGGTTAAACAGCCATAAGGGAATGGAACATTTGCTGCCTGGCCAGAAAATCAACCATTGATGGTGAAATGGTTAATAGTAGCAAGTTGTAGATTTCTTAATAATCTTAATAATTTTAATGTTATGACATTCCATTCATTGGTTAAATAACTGACAGTAACCTGGAAGTGTTAAGCAATCCTGAGTGCCACCATTTGTTTCGTCTGGATTTTGGGCAAAGTAAATGATGAAAACTCTGCAAGTGTTCCTCATCATTACACTTCTGAACTCAACTACTCTGGATTGTGGGCTTCTTGATGGTTTACTTGTAAATTTCTTTCTATTACATTTCTTAATGCATTTTGAGATTAATTGGTCATCTTTTTGGCTCTCTTGTTCGCCTGTTTACAAGTATGAATAATGAACAACATATGGTTATTTGGTTATCTCAGTTTTATCTTGGCCATTGAACACAAGGTGAGCACCTCAATCAATTCTGTCTAAACTAGTTCTTATGACTGCACCGTTAGATTTAATGGTTAGTCAGTGTGCTCAGTAGAAATTTGACTGACCTGGGCAAACTTTATCAACCGGTTATATCCTTCCGTTTTCACGAGTTGCCCTGCAAACTTAACATAGATTACCATGAATCCTTAAATTCTTGACAGCTAAGTCAATGACTAACAATTTGTTTATGATATTGTAGCCAAACGGCTGGTGTTCCTTTGGAAACAACTGCCTCCTAATAAGGGTAAGTTGTTTGCACACCATAATTACCGTACCAATTGAGACACCACTGCAGTGATTTTTCTTTTACTTTCTTTTATACACTCTGCAAATATGTCAAACTTGTGTGCAGAGCAAGTGGGGCACAACACTATTGATGGTGTATTTCTTCAATTTGGTTTTGCCTTGGGAAGTGGTTTTTGTAGTAAAGTAAAGATGAGGTTAACCCCTGAAACCTCTGGTTTTAATAGCCTTACCTCTTATTAAGTAAAAACAGTGAGAACACGAATAAGCAAGTATAAATGAATAAACGCAAAACAGCATCAATGTAGTAATAAACATGAAACTACTTACATTTAATTATGCAGTTCTCAAGCTTACATTGTGCAACATGTTAACTAAAGCAGTATGGAGCACATAGAGTTTGTGTTCTGTAATTAATGAAATACAACAATCTTTTCAGTCTTCCCTGTAGAGCCGCTATCTAGTTATTTCTATTTTGAGAAAATCCCCAATCACAGTGTATCATTTAGACATTGATTAGTACTAACCTCCATAGGATAGAGACAATCATTCGATGATACAGCATTTGGATTGTCTTGAGCAGATGCATCATGTGCTACATGTAATTTAGTTGATGTGGCACCTTGCATGATGGGCCTATGTGGAATGTTGAACTCAATACCCTATAGTGGCTGGTCAAGTGGTTGAACAATCCCTATCTGCTCATCAATGATCACATTGTAAGCTTGCTCCAACCCTGTTTGTTTCAAATTCTGCTTTGAACTTTCCAGTCAACAAATACTTCCCTGCTCATTTGAAGGTAGTGGTGGGTGGTTGCCTTTCCTGGGTAGGGCTGCTTTGTGCTAACCCGATTTGCTGTGCTTTAATTGCTCACGGAATTCTTTTTACAATTCACTTTGGTGGTGTTGTGGTGTGTTGGTTAGTCCTAACTTAGAGAGTTCTCAATTATCTAACTGACTTGTTTATATAAGAAGCATGTGTGAAGCATAAATCTCCTCTTCTGGAGAAAGAAAAACCCATCCAAAACATTATTAAGGAGGAAATGTTTATTCTGTCGTTGTGAGGGCTTTTGAGAAGATTGTGGTAGGGAAGGATGTAGCAGTACGAAGGCACTCCTCTCTGCCCCAATGAGGGTAGTTTCCTCATCCTAAACTGTATGGTTGACTCATCAGTCCTGGTATCCTTATGAGGGGTCAATGACCACAATCTTTGTAATTGGTCTCTGATACTCCGAGGTTGGCATTTCAACTTTGACGTTCCAAACATTGTCATTCCTTTCAGGGAATATGTTAATGATTCTTTTGATAGTCCAGTTTCCACGAACAGAATTGGAATCCTCCATTATGACTATCTCATCCACTCACATAGGATACTTCTCAGCATTCCACTTCTTTCTTGGGACCAATGACGGAAACACACCTCAGGTCTAAGGTCTCCAGAAGGTGTCCACTATTTACTGCACCAACTCGATTCTATGTTGGGGTTCCTAGTTTCTCTGAACGGTCCATGTGGCCCTGTTGATGAGGCTCGTCTGAGAAGCATGTCGTTGGAACACATATGAGCCGCCATCTGGGTTGTTGGGAATTCTTCCAGAGGGGCGTTGATTCATTATGCTGGCCACTTCCAGTAATTAGGTATATGATTTGAATGGTACCAGTATTTGTTCACCAATTGCTTTCTTGTGGCCTGTCTTGGCACCCTTCATGACCGCTTCTGTGCAACCAGTTTGATGAGGTGCTCTAGGTGTGGTGAACTGCCATTTCATTCCTTTCTAAGGGCTAAACTCTTAAAGCTCTATGATTCCACTCTTGGACCATCTCTCTGAGCTTGTGCTCTGTGCCCACAAGCTGAGAACCATTATTGCTCATAATCAGTGCAGGTGTTTATCTGATGGTGAAGAATCGTCTCAGTGTCTGCATGAATTCCAAGGGTGAATAATCTACAGCTTACTCCAGGTGTACAGCTTTCGTGTTCATACAGGTTAAGACGACTCCTTAGTACTTAGCAGTTGGTTTTCGGCTTATCTTCACTTTGTTGGCTCCAGAGTAGTCACATGCTGTGTAATAAAATGACGGTGTGAACGGTTCCAGGTGGTTTTTGGGCAGGTCCATCATGAGTTGTGATTCAGTTTTTGCTTCACTTTCTTGGTAGAGCATGCAGTGGAACTTTACAGACTTGGAAAATCATGAGCCCTTAGGATCCAAGACTTCATTGTGATCTTTGCCACTGCAGTTGCCACTCCAGCGTGTCCGATCTGATGGTAGTGTTGAGTTATCAAAAGAGATATCCAGTGGTCTGAAGGGAGGATAGCAAGATGTTTGACCACCAACTCTAATTACTCCATCTTCATCCATAGATGGGCTTAGCTGTAACATCAGAGGATTGGGTGAGCTGGCTGGTTTGAGCTTTAGGGCATTCCTTTACTATTTCATTTAGGTCAACAGTTGAATCCTCTTGAGGCCACTCCTCCTGGGGTAGGAAGAACTCCGGTCCCTGCTTCCATCAGCCATTTGGATGCTTTTTTGTTATGCCACGAGAGGCATTATCAGTCTGGCTTTCAAGAGACGATTTCAGTACCTGTATGCCAGAAGGTTTCAAGGAGCCATACTCAAGCACTTGGGTGATCTTGTATTGTACTGAAATATTTGTCCAGACACCTACCTCTTTACTCCTGCAATCGCAGCTCTACTCGACTTATAAGAGTAATACAATCCTTAAAGAATTGATTGGAGTCACTCCCAATGGAGCCATTAGTTTCGTTTCCAGTTTGTATACAGGGAGTATTAGTGATAAAGAAATCTCAAGGTGTTGTAGGATTCTAGACCTTTGAGATTCTGGAGACTCGGTAATGGCTGATAAAGGATTTGACATCAATGTTTTACCAAGAGAGCCCAAGGTACAATTAATTATTCCTCCCTTTCTTGAAAGTTAGGGGAAATTTTCCCACAGGATGTTCAAAAAACAAAAACTAATGCCAGCCTAGAATACATGTTGAACGGGCTAATGGATCTTGGGGTGAGAGAGTATCAATTTTTGATTCAGGTGTTCCATTATCTACTTTAGGTTCAGTAGAAAAATTATTTTCTGTGGCCTGTCTTCTTAAAAATTTGTAAGGACTGCTGATTTTAGCTGATAGTTAAAAGCGAAATGAATAAGCATAACATATGTAGTAGTTTTAAAGAAGCAGTGAAAATTGTTTAAAAGGAAAATTACTTGACACTTCACAGAGGTCTATGACTTCCCATTTCATACAGTATATATGAAATGGGAATATATATACCCGTACTATATACCCGTACTAAACGACAGGTAGCAACTTCAAACTTATTTGCTGTTATACTTTTCTTTATGAGAAGATGCTACGTGTCACTTAAGCTCTCTGTAACTGTTTATTCCTGTACTTTGAGGAAATTTTCCGTGGTTACAGTTAGGGAATCAAAGATGGCTTGTTGCTGATTTTTCAAGCAAACTGACAAATTATTGGTAAACCTTTGCTTGGCACC